GACAAACCATGACAGACTGTGGACTCTGAGAAACAAACTGAGGGTTCCAGGAGGGACGGAGGTGGGGGGATGGGTTAGCCTGGTGATGGGTATTAAAGAGGGCACGTTCTGCATGGAGCCCTGGGTGTTATACGCAAACAATGAATCATGGAACACTACATCAAAAACTAATGATGCATTGAATGGTGATTAACATAACATAATAAAAAAATAGCAAATGAAATCTTATAGAACAAACTTGTAAGACTTAGGTTATCAAATTTTAAGCTTTATCATAAAGCAACACTAATTAAAACAGAGTGGTCTGAGCTCAAGGATACATATCTAGATCAATGGAGCAGAATAAAGAGTACAGAAAAAGACCCACACATAAATGGTCACTTAATTCATGACAAAGGTATAATTCAGTAAGAAAAAGATGGTCCTTTTAATGAATGTTGCTTTGTTCAACTGGATCCATATGGGAGAAAAAAAAAATCTTACCTTACATCATATGCAAAGAAAAATTCAAGATGGCCCATAGAATTAAATTGAAAAAAAAAGTTTCTAGAAGAAAACATAGAAGAATATTTTCATGACCTTTTGGCAGGTAAATAGTTCTTAAATATGATATACAAAAGCACTAACCATTAAAGAAAAAGATTATAGTTGGGCTTGATTAAATTAAGAGCCTCTGTCAATTAAAAGACACCATTAAGAAAGTAAAGGGCAGGGGTGCCTGGGTGGCTCAGTCGTTAAGCGTCTGCCTTCAGCTCAGGTCATGATCCCAGGGTCCTGGGATCGAGCCCCACGTCGGGCTCCCTGCTCGGCGGGAAGCCTGCTTCTCCCTCTCCCACTCCCCCTGTTTGTGTTCCCACTCTCACTATCTCTCTCTCTCTCTGTCAAATAAATAAATAATCTTTAGGGGAAAAAAAAAGAAAGTAAAAGGCAAGCCACAGACTGGAAGAAAATACTGTAATTACATATATTCAACATTATACTCATTTACAGACTCTTTAAAGAACTCCTAGTAATCAATAACATAAAAATCAAACAACTCAACAACAACAACAAAAGAGCATACGCCTGAATAAGCCTTTGGAAAAGTGTCCAACATCATTAGTTGTTGAGGAAATTAAAATTAAAATTAGCATTATGGGAATATCCAATCCCACAATGTTGGCATGAGAAACTCTGTGGACCCACTCCCTGATGAAACAGCCATAAATAGTGACAATTATTTTAAAAATAAAATAAACATTTAGGGGCGCCTGGGTGACTCAGTGGTTAAGTGTCCAACTCTTGGTTTCAGCTCAGGTCATGATCTCACTGTCATGTTAAGCTCTGCCACGGGCTCTGGGCTCACTACGGAGTCTGCTTCAGATTCTCTCTTCTTCTCCCTCCCCCTCTACCCCTCCCCCCACTCATATGCGCACATGGGCACACTCACTCTCTAAAATAAATTGATAAATAAAATCTTTAAAAAAAATAAACATTTAAAATCTCTAGTAATGATTCAAAATCAGGAAGCAAATGAAGATTCATTTATTCAAGAAAATATTTGCAAGTCATATATCTGGTAAGGGATTTGAGTCCAGAGGGCTCAAATGCTGAGAACATTTACAACTCAATAATAAAACAACCCCATGAAAAAACAGGCCAAGTCTAGGGCGCCTGGGTGGCTCAGTCCTTAGGCGTCTGCCTTCGGCTCAGATCATGATCCCGGGGTCCTGGGATCGAGCCCCGCATCGGGCTCCCTGCTCGGCGGGAAGTCTGCTTCTCCCTCTGACCTTCCTCCCTCTCCTGCTCTCTCTCTCTCTCTCTCTCTCTCTCTCTCTCTCATTCTCTCTTAAATAAACAAATAAAATCTTTAAAAAAAACAAAACAAACAAACAAAAAAAATGGGCCAAGTCTACACTGTTGAATGTAGGTATAACACAGGCCCAGGGAAAGGCTGAAAAGGTAAGGTAAAGAAATGGGCTGTATCTTGGAAGGCCTTTGCACTAAACCAAGAAGTCTGACCATTGTCTGAGAGCTATGGGAGCCTCCAAAGATCTGAAGCATCAAGTGAGGAGCTCAGATTACATCCTAAAGAGACCCACCTGCTAGCAGTATGGAGGCGGGTTGCAGTTAATGCAGACTGAAGACAGACACTCAAGCAGAGGCAAATGGGGATGAGATGAAAAGAGCAGAGCTGACAGTGCCTCCAAGGTAGAATCTCTAGGAATGAGTGGCCAGTTAGACACAGTGGAAGAAGGAGCGAGTAAAGTCACAGAAGCAGCAATCCCACAGGCTGGATTCGGGTTGCATATTTTGTGTTTATTTTGCCCTTCAAAAAATTACATTTGAACCACACTGGCTTGTCCATTCCTGTTTGCTTCAGTCCTCACCATTCCCTCCTCCCGGTGGCCCTGCTGGGCTTTACCTGTCTGATTTCTGAAGGAGTGACTTTTCTAGACAGTCTTTTTTTTTTTTTTTTTAATGTGTGCTTATTCTGGGGTTGCGAGGAGACACATGGGTGAGGAAGGATTAAGGAATAGTGGGGCAAGGTGACTTCATTCCTCTGTCTGATACTGGCCCTGCCACCATCTCCAATCGCTAGCCCAGCCCACCCCCCATCTTTTACCGACCTCTGGTGGATTTTCTGCAGGAAAATCAAGAAAAGAGGAAGAATCTAGACTTTTTCTCTCATAGATGCCTTGAAAAGCTTGAGAAGCTATATTATGCATCTACTAAATTCCCTGTCAGGTTTCTAATGCTCATTGCAGCACTGCAGGAATCTAGGATTACTTTTACTTTACAGATGAGTAAACTGAGGCAGTTTAAGTAAACCAGGTTGCCAGTATGCTTTAGAATACTGCGCTGAAGTGTTAAAAACAAAGGATCATAAAGCATGGCTTCATCATTTTCCTAAGCCATTTGACTTTTTTTTTTATAGCCCTCATTTACTTTTATGATAGATTCACAGGTATATTCACCAGAATCTCTGACCAGCAAAATTAATAAGAAGTATAGCTGATTCAAATCTTTGCTTACATGTGATATTGTCATACTTCACTGGTAGCAGTATAAATTGGTTATAGTCATATTGGAAAGGTGTTTGACAGTATTTTATCTGTTTGTTGCTGATTACAAACCACCATAAAATGTAATGACTTCAAAGCAACTGATTTGTTATCTTTCGCAATCCTGTGGATTGACTGTGTTCAATTTAATTGTTCTTGCTTCAAACCTCTCAGGCAGGGGGCACCTGGGTGGCTCAGTGGGTTAAACATCTGCTTTGGGCTCAGGTCATGATCCCAGGGTCCTGAGATCAAGCCCCGTGTGGGTCTTCCTGCTCGGTGGGGAGCCTGCTTGTCCCCCTCCCTCCGCTCCTCCCCTCTCTCCCCCGCCCCCTACTCGTGCTCTCTCTCTCACTCGCTCTCTCTCAAATAAATAAATAAAATCTTTAAAAAAAAAAAACCCACTCAAGCAGTTGCTGTCAAATTGTAGTAAGTACTGGATTTTTCGGAAGATTTGACTGGACTTGAAATAGAAGACAGCTTGATCACACGGCTGGCAGTCGATTCTGGCTGTTTACTGTGAGTTTAGATGGGGCTCTCTATCAGAGTGCTTATGCGTGGCTTTCCCATCTGCCTTGGGCTTTTTCCAGCATGGCGGCTAGATTTTGTAAGGGCGCACTCCCAGAGGGAGTGTTCCAAGAGACCAAAGCAGAAACTGCAAGGTTTCTTACGACCTAGTCGTGTGATATCACTTCAGCAACATTCCGCCAGTGATTACAGGGTCAGCCCAGACTCACTGTGGGAGAGGACGGCACAGGGATGAACACTGGGAAGTGTAGTTCACCGGGGCCATTGGTGGCAACTAGCTCTTACCGGGTTCTCTGACTTCCAATGTTTCATTTCCCTCCTGGCAGCAAAACGCTCTGGCAACCTTCACAAGGCCTCCAAGGTCCCACTCTGTTACTGGTCCGGGTCAGGCTTCCAGTCTATGATCCCATTACCTAAATCAGGTCCAGATATCAATGTGACTTCTTGGGGCCATTCCCTTTGCTGAAGTTCTTTGAGCGTAACTTCTAGAGTACGATTCTCTCAAACTTTAGACTCATGAATTAAAGAGACCAGTTATCTTCTACACAACCACCATACAACAGGTTGAGACAGTAACAAGGGTATGAGACAGGTTCACTTAAAAAGGCAAAGGACA